GAACTGTCCAAATAGGCTCTGTGTTTAGAGGTGCCCAAGACCCTATTCCGTGAACCCTCAGCGGTAAATTGAAGTCACATGGAATAGGCCCTTTAAAATCCTAGAGGGACCCTTTTCGGGGTTCTGGTATATCCTTCGCGATAAGATTTCTGTTCATGACCATGCTGTTCATGACCGTTGCAAGATTGGCAGCGTTCAAGCTACGCCTGGTGTGGATTGCAGGCTCTAACTTGATTTTCAAATATGTTACAAGATCGGGGTTTGAAACGGGTACCCCGGGGACACGAGGGGCATGTGCAGGGGCTTATTAGACTTATCACATTATGCTACAGTCGGCACCACATGCTGTGTGGGCCGAGGAGGATTGTTGCAGAAGACTTGTGTAGCGGAAGTCGCGAGGCTACATTGCCCTCAAGCCTAAGCCTTTACGGTAGCAGTTACTGACAATGGGTATTAGTAATATGGTTTATAGCAGCCCCTTAATAACCCCTTTGCTTGTGATTTCTCAGCTTCTTAAGGCGACAATTCATTGTCACATGTTTGCTCCTTTTCCACCTTTCTTCTTGTAAGCCCTGAAACCTTAAACCCTAGACCCTGACACCTAAAACCCTAAACCCTTAATGTTCATGTTGTGGCCATCCTCAGTCATTTCCTTTGGCTGCCAAAGCCTAGAGCAGGCGTGCAAATCTAAACCCAAGCGAGGATAAATTCATGCAGAAACGAACACGGTGTTGGGCTCTACATGATTTAGAGTTTAGGATGTAGGGTTTGGGATCAGAGCACTGTTTTCATTTGGCTGCCCACAGCCCCCACGGCCCAGGTCCTACACCCTGAAGACCAATCTCTCTGTCCTCAGAATTCCTTGCAAAATCGCAGATTGCGCCCGCAGAATCTCCATATCATACTTTACAACCCTCAAGAATGCTGAAGTATGGTCTCCAACATTCCTTGCTCATCTGGATATCAACCTCCCTTGGCAATCCGAGACTCTGCAGCGGGAATCCTGTACCCCAAGCGACATGCCCTTAACGCTGGCCTCGAGCCTTAGACCCCAAAGTGTGGGGTGCTATTAAGGAACTTAAATTAAGGTACTCTGAGAACCGAACCTTTTGATTTGTATATGCCCTTAATGTGGTAACCTAAGTAAGTTCCGTAACAGCAAGCCAGCAACATGTGTGAGGAAGTTCCAGCTGCGTGGGGACTGCTCACGTTCCTTGCGCAGCTTGGCGTGCAAAAAGGTGGTGGGCAGTAGACGATTGAGGGGTTACAATGGGAATCTAGGGGGAGGGACTCTAGGGGGAGATGCGGGGGTTTCCCAAAATTGGGGGCACCATTTTGCAGGTCCCAAGAATAAAGATTATAGTCTTTTGGGGTCTATAATGGGGTCCCCCTATCCAGGCAAACTACTATGTGGGGGAGTGCACAGGGCTAGGACTTGGTTGCACGAGAGGCTTAGGATAGGAGAGGAGGGGACTTGCACGTTGGGTTCGCCGCGTAGAGATGGGCTCAGGAGTGGAGGATCTAGTAGCTGCCTGATCTAAGGGTTCTACAGCCCTAAGCCCTTTCATCGACAGCAAAGGCAAACTGATCTAAAGTCTGGCTAAAGTGAGTGGGTGTCGACTTGCGCAGAAACAGCTCGTAGCACCGTGTCCAAGAAACATTTCTGAGGCAGGCTCCCGTGGGAGAAAATGCTCCACAACGAACATCATTTAAGTCTAAAACTTCAATATCCCAGGTTGATGGTTTGAGGACAGGGTGGATGGAGGAAATCTTGCAACACTCAGGATCCGCGGTACCATGTACTTCCTAGGTTATAAGGTATTTGGGCTTAGGGTTTAGGATTTAGGGCTGGTGGTGCGAGATTTCCTCCATCCACCGTAGGACTCAGTTTTGGGGTCTGGATTTGAGGGAGGGAGGGATTGCCAGGCCCAGGCATGTTGACTTGAGTGGGTGGGTTAGGGTTTAGTTTTGGGAATTGCGAGAATTGAGAACCCGATGGAAAATCAGATGAAGATGTCATGGACATTGGTATTTTCGTCTGCGCATCGAGAGGTTTGTGGTTCCCTGGTTTCTGACAGGCTGCATGGGTCCAAGCAAGGCGTGAGTAACGCAGGATGTCAAGTGTGCCTGTTGCACCCCGCCTGGAGCATCTTAATCCAGGGTTCAGGCTTCAGGAGTGTTAGGCAGGTTCACAACCTTCTCTTTTTGCCATCGCAGGTTCCCTAAACCCTAAACCCTAAACCCTAAACCCTATGGAATCCTGATTTGGTCATCTCCGCTTCTCTTCCTCGCCCCTCCACGAAGTCCCTGAATGTGACGGGCAATGGATTTGTTGTCTTTTCTTATCTTAGCCCCTACCAGCTATTCTTGCAAGGATCCCCGCAAGCAATTGCTAATTGGTGGTGTCTGTCGCCCAAAAATAGCTTGAACGAAAAGTACCCCTGTCGGATCTAAAGTAAATTTAACTAGAACAGCATGCCCTTCTAAACCCCCGCCTCTTCTATCAAGACTGGGGGCGGCATTAGGGCTTTACGATGCTGAACCCCCGAACCCACAACCCTGAAAATCATCACAAGGCTCCCGGCCCAAATTCCCGCACCTAAACCACAAACCTCGTCCACCTACCAAGCCGTAGATGTCTCTGCTTCTGTCCCAGGAATTTCATCCCCAACATCGGTGGCCCAGCACGGGACCTACTGGTCTGGGGTTGACGGTTTGGGGTTGTGGGCGTAGGAAATCCAACGCTGGTTTTGATTTTGTTTCAGTGTGGCTCGTACATGTCAAAGTGGCTGAAGGTTTAGCATGTTTACACATTGCAGGGTCTTTGGGCCACGGAAAGACTTTGGTTTGCCGTGAACCTTGTCAGTTTACCTCCAACTCCAAACCCTAACGTATGACCCTTCAAACCCAAACCCTGAAAACTGACTCTAACCCCTAAACCTCAGAACCTAAACTTTACGCTGTAAGCCGGATATCCTTGTTTCGAATCCGTCAGCCTCAAGCCATCACAATTGTTGGGTTCCAGAACTTAAGCCTAATGCTTCAACCCTGAACCCTTAAAACCTGGAGCTCTGCCCTACTGTTTCCTTTGACTGCAGCCGTGGCTTGAGATGGGTGGTAACTTGTGTTGAGATGTTTACGGTTTGGGGTTTCAGCTTTATGGCTCCAGGTTACCGGGGGTAAACCCTAAGCCCTAAACCACTTGGCAAATAGCTGCAACCTTAAAGGCTGTGGTGGTAGTAGTCCGAGGCACAGCTCCCTACACCAGTTCCTTCTGTCCCTATGGGTTGTTCTCAAAATTGTGGGCCCCTTTTGGTTATAGCTTACTATTTAGGGGTGCCAAAAATGGCACCCTAATTTTGGGAACTGCCCATAGAATCCGAAAGATTATCTTCATATTCCGCTTCCTCATTTCCTAGGGTTTAGGGTTTGCCCAACCTTATTTGAGAAGTACAGTCCCTGCATGCAGAGGTGTGTTATGGTGGTCTGCCCAGGAAATATTTGAACTTTTTATTGTAGTATAACCCTGAGGAATT